AGCTTCTGGCAATCTGCCAGTTAGGGATTTCCTGAGCCAGAGGTTGCATCTGCATCAGCATGTTTAATAGCCCCTGCTGGACCCATTTTCCATGAATTTGTCTAATTGCTTCTCGAATCTATAACTGTCAGCAATAAGTTCCACAACTGAATTATGCATTCTGTGAAAAAGCACTTCTAGATGTTGTGCACTAAAGTAGCTGCCTGAAAATTCCCTTCATTGACCCCTTAGTCTTGTATTACAAGGGGATAGTCATTTCCAATTCACTTTTCCCGTGTCATTTCTGACTTTACACACACCTGTATTACTTGTCTCTCTTCCAAGCTGAACTGATCTATTTTATTTAACCTCTCCAAGGAAAGTCATTTAGTAACTATACTCATCCTTGTTGCCCTTCTCTATACCTTTCATATTTCTGTCTTCAGAAATATGCTTTTCAAAACAATTGTACTCCTGCTCATGACATGGGGTGGATCATGTTTGCAAGCTGCATAAGGACATTTTTCATTTTGTTGTCTACACCTTACCTAATCATTCCTAACACTGTCTTTTCCCCTTTGTTCTCTGGCTGCAGGCAGGCCATTTCTGTCTGTTTATGCTCTAAGTTCTTCCAAGTAAAGCTGTTCTATGATGAAAAGTACAGGTCCTCCTGCACACCAAGGGGCTACGAGACAGACTTTCTGAAGTTAGTCACTGGTAACAAACTCATACACAGGTTGCAAGACAAACATGCTAGCTAGCACTGCCTACTGATGGTGACCTCGTGCCATTTGAGGATCCAATCCAGATATGGGAAATGGTCATGCAAGCCATGCATGGGTGTGGGGTTAAGACCATCACAGCATTCCATACACAAATCATCATAGAACCACAGAATATCTTGGGTTGGAAGGGATCTTAAGGATCCAAACTCCCTGCCATGGGCTGGTGCCACCAACCTGATCAGGCCACCCAGGGCCCATTCAACCTGGCTTTGAATACATCCAAAGATGAGGCATCCACAGTTTCTCTGGACAGCCTGTGCCAGTGCCTCACCATCCTCTGAGTAAAGAATTTCCTCCTAACGTCTAACCTAAATCTCCTCTTTTAGTTTAAAACTGTTCCCCCTTATCCTATCACTACATGCATGCCTAAAGAAGTAGACAGGCAATATGTATGATACAAATCACAAAGAAAATTGTAAACAGTTCAGTTTTAGTAAAGAGCCCAGCAATAGATGGAAAAAAAAAAAAAAAATCCATGATGAACAACTAACAATCACTCAAAACCTCAATTTCTGGCTCAGGAAATTTTGCTCCTGCAAACCAGGGGAATGCACCAGTGAATTAGTGCCATAGTTTTATGCTTCATAGAAGCTCTGCTGTTGGCCAACATTGATAACAGACAAAGGGATACATGCATTTTTGGTTTTGTTCAGCATGTCTCTCTTCGTGTGTCTATTTTCAACCACCTTAATCACAGCTGCAGATCGCAGAGCTGACTGCTTTTCAAACCCAGACATGAGGCAGTTTCTATCTGAATAGACTTTGTTCTAAGAAATCACAATAAGATCCAGAGTTTTGTGCGCTGAGGAGAAATGCATTTCTTGTTTGCTATGGAATTGCATTCATCCTAGCTTTCCTTCTCTTTCAGTTTCCGATCAGCACACCCTTAAGGCACAGTGTCTTAAGCTCAGATCAAGAATCTTTGTGTAGACTAAACCATTTATACCTAAACATTCTCAAACACTTCTTTCATACCACCCAGAACTGCCTATCCCCCCAACTCCTTATATTCATCATTCACAGATATCTGTACTTTGGAGAGCACTTGCAAAGAGAATCTGAATTAATTTCTAGAACAGATGAACTAAAACACATTGAGTATCTGTGTGGACATCTGTATTCAGAATTAAAGCAGCCCTAATTCAATTTAACTTTCTTCACTTTCAAAGTGAATTAAAGTAAATGTAATTGAGGCTATTTAAATTCTGATTAAGAGTCTTGACATCTGCCACAAGGGAAGCTATATTAACCACAGGGAGTTAATTCACCACCATAAGTGTGAAAACAGAACCAACTGCATAACAAGAAAGCCACAGAAGAAGGAAATCATTAGTCTCTGAATTGTAATAATCACTACAGTGTATGATAAATGCATATTTAATTTGGGAAGCAATATTCTTGCATGTTGAAAAGGTAAGTAGTATTATCTTGCATTGAAGAACAATCCTAAAAACATTTCCAGGTTTTTTTTTCATTATGTAACAGAATTACAATTGTGTCAGAACTCAAAATAAGTTGTTTAAACAAGAGAAATGAAGTCTCATAGCTGTAAATGCAACAGCAACCAAATTTTCCTTGCTAACTCAGCTCATGCCTGTCCATCTTTATGGAAGCATCATAGAAAACGACCCCAGTTTAAAAACTGTATCACAAAAAATGTGTGTCATGGTGTTTTTCTTTTCCCTATCAATTTGGTGGTTAATTGATTTCAGAATAAGAAAGCTCTTGCTGCCTTGATGTTGCACATGTTCGAAGTCACATCTGTGAACAGCTCTATGTTTATTGGTGATAAGAGGCTTGTGGATGTCCTTGAAAAATGTCATTGTTTCAACCCAGATTAAGAGTGCTGTACCTATATATACCAGAACTTCTTCCTGTAGTGTTGGTGAAGATGCACATGCTACGTATAATTGTAAAATCTGTTTCTTCATAATCTGCTTTTATTATATAACAAGAGTGCCTGAATAAAGAATACTGCTTCAAAGCAGCAAAAGGCTGCCTAAGAGCAAAAGAAGATAGCAGTAGCAAAGGGAATAGGTACCTTCTTTAGACTGCTACACAAGCTAGCAGCTCTTTCTTCATTTATTTCTTCATCTTCTTTATTCTGCAGATATGCAAAGTCCTTGTAATCTTTGGGAAGGTTTTCAATGTCCAAGTCCTAAACTGTGCTGTTAGATATTCAGACAGGAGGGGCATATATGTTTCTAGAAAGAAGTAACCAGGAAAGCCGTGACCTTCCCCCGATGAAATCTTTGACCTGTTCTGGACCAGTAATCACTAAAGCTCTCTTTTGTGTTACATACACATATTTTTTCTAACTTAATCTAAAACTTTACAAGGATTAATGCTTGTTCCTCCCTGTACACCTCATCCCAACAGCTGGATCTCCAGTGGAAATTTCTCTAGTTTATCATAGTGATGCTGTACATGAGAATATGGGTTTTGGCCATGAAATTTGCTCCTACTTCCTTCCTTCTATGAGGTAAGTCCATTAGAGCTGCACAGTAGAATTAGGGGTAATTTCATACATTTTACATGAGATTTCAGTAGAAGTCTGAAGGCTTTATCTTGGTCCTCCTGCAGAATTGCTTGTCAGAAAGACAATAAACACACATGGAAAAGTAGCTCACATTGATGGCAACTTTTAGGATAGGATACTGCAAGCTCTGCACCAGTTCTCCTTGTCTACCCCATTAAAACATGCAAACAATATGATCCTGCCTGCACACTACTCCCTTTTATGAATTCCCTAACATAGCTCAGCATTATTTCCAGATAGCACTGAAATCTTCAAATTTGTTATCTTGTTTCAATTACCTTTTACTAACAATCAGAATTTTGGAATATTGCTTGAAATAACAGTACCAAAAAGTTGGCTAGAACAGTGGGAAAAAAAATTCCTATCTGAAACCAAAACGCTTCATCCTGAAATCCCTTCAACAGCCCCACTCACACTAAGAGAGAAAAAGATGCTACCATCTATTTCAGAAATTTCTTTTTTTCTTAAAAAATGCTTGTTTACAAAAGGGGAAAAATCCCAAAATGCACAAACACACAAAAAAAAAAAAAAGAAAAGAAAAAGAAGTGGAAGAGAATAAAGGGACATAAATATGTAAAGGGTACAAGACCTTCCTACCTCATCCCCAGAACTTTCCAGAGCAAGACTAATAATATGATTTTAATGATACCGTTGTAGGAATCAGTTTTCCTACATGGAGTTTCTTACCTGACAAAGTGATCAAGGCCTCAGACTCTGGTAACTCACAGAGAAATAATATGTGAGGAAAATATAATTTTAATGTCTTCTACCAAAAATAATGCCCAGCTGTGCCCTTTATACCAGCATTTATTAGTTCATTACTTCCAGATAATGGGGAAGTAGCTTTGCTGTGTGGTCGAAAGTGAAGTAGACTGGAGTAGCGAGTTCAAAAGTGACAGAAAAAAAGAATTCCAATAACTCAACTGAGAAGCTTACTGGAAAAGTGGGACTGAAGATCTAAATGCAGGAGGTGGATGATTCAGTAATGAATGGAAGGCTCATTTTGACAGCTTGGGCTGCCATCCAAGCTAATTTGTTTCCAGGCCTTCAGTTTGCCAACTGAAGAGGCTGAGAAATAATAGGCCCCCAAAAATATTTCTAAGGGAACACAATGCCCATTATCACTGAAGGAGAAAGAATCTGCACAATTCAAAGAGGAAAAAGAAATTTGAGATCTGCCAACTTTGGCCAGTTCCAAATGACACAGGAAGGAGCAGTTACAATGTAGTGAAAGGAAAGACGTACACTATTGTTAAATAAATTCAAAGTAAAAGTCATCATAAAAAAATAGACACAATAAATAGAAGGATGTTTCTTTCACAGAGAGGTGATTTTATAGCTAAGCCCATGCGAGCAGCCTATGATAAAGAAAAGAATTTGGGGTATAGGAAAAAATGAATAAGAAATTGGTAAAGAGAAATAGATCATAACAAAATGAGAAATAATGAGACTACCTCTTTATATTTGACTTGGTCATCAAAGAAAACTTTTTATATAAAACTGCCTGGATAATTTATAAACATTAGAGATTTAATTATCTCCTCCACGCAAAGACGGTGTGGTTCCCACTCAAGTCGACAGCAGCACGAAATGTTTTCTGATTATCACAGAGGTTAAGCCTGGGCTTAATTTTCCTTCCAGTCAGTCACACTAAAGACACATCTACACAGGGCACAATTTAGAAATCCTCAACTTACCAGCAAGATCACATGGCGTAGCACCGAGTTTAACAGCGCAGGACAAGAAATGCAACAGCCGCATTCTGCCAACAGGTCAGGCCAGACAGATGCAAACAGTCCTGATGAATGGGAGCTGTGTGTCTCCATAGCCACACTGGAAACACCTCCACGGCCACTCTGTGTTTTCATACCCTCTCAGATTTATTAAGATGACAGCTTATCTAGAAGAGAGAAAAAATACGCAAGATTTGATGAACATTTTCAAAAAGCAGAACAAGAAATTTTGAAGTACTGAGAAAACATTTGCTGTCAATAATAAATACTTATGAATGCTCTTTTTCACCACGTTTTTAAGAGAAGTCTGGACATGGGTAGCCTAAACATTATTAAAATATTTTTAAAATTTTTATGAGAACACATTAAAAATAGTCATTGTTTGTAAAAATATTTCCTTATTATAATGCTTTTTCTGCCTAAGAGCACAAAATTCCAGATTTTTTGAACAGTGGTAACACATCTGCTTCAAGATAAGCTCAGGAAAACACTGAATTACCTGCTAGCCTTCACCTTAGGTTTACCTGACTTTTAGCAACTGGAAAACTTGCCCTTCTCTCTTGATACACACTTGTTGCTACAAATACCTTCCTTTTTTGCCATCACAAAAGCAAACTAACATTTTGCTAAGATACTTGTCAGCCTTTTGGATGATGCCCTCTCAGAATTACATAATGGCCCAGGGAGGGCCCTGGAAGGGACCTCAAGGATCATGAATTTCTAATCCCCCCCACCCGCCACAGGCAGGGCCACAATCTATCACTGAAGGTTATTTTTTCTACTACTACAATTGTACTACCAGGCTACTTAATTAAATGGGCATTCAATGCTAACGTGTCCCCTTAGGGTATAGCTAAATTGCAATGGGAAGGTATGACTGCAACATATTCAGGCACACCCTGCAGAGTTTTCATCTCATGAGAATCAGTAGCAACAATGCTACAACTGAGCTGACTTCAGTGCAGGCTGTTCCACTGCTCACATACTCACACAACTGTTTCACTTCTTTATTTTTATAATAACAACCAGATTAAAATTAGCTACCTTAGAATCAAGGCCAGCACTGAACTCGTCAAATGTTTGAGAAGATAAGGAGTCCCTTCCCTTCCCAATTACCCAGTGATCTTTTACCTAACTTAATTTCAGTCTTCATAACTGCCCTGCTGCTTGCCCCTAAAGCCAATAGTGTTTCCATGTGCTCATTTGCAGCAAAGGTACACTATTAATTCACTGTCATACCTTGCGGTGCTTTCATGTCAGTTGGTTTCATGGGTGGTCACCTCTCCAAGGCAGAGCCCAAGGGTTTATTCAATACCTTGCAAATTGATTCTTCCTCATGAGAGGATACTGGCGGGATGCCACTGCAACAGAAATAACCATGTTTCCGGAGGTGAGATTGTTTTCCTTTACTCAATAAGCTGCATCTTTACAATACTCTGCTATTGGAAAAAGTATTTAATGAAATTAACATTTCAACAGAATTCTGACAAGGCAGAATGTTTTGCTGATAGATGAACAGTATCCTGACACACTTAAAAAGATTAATATTTGTGAATTTTGACATAACTACTGATTTCCTCAACAGATTTAAAGTCGAAGTTTATCTTCATGTTAATCCAATTTCATGCCTAGAACAGAGCAAGCATAACAGAATGTCTTTAGTAACCTTCTGATATCATTAATTATTGCTACATTGGGAGTTACAGCATGGAACAAACAGGTTTTTAAAAGGAAATCATTTGTCTCTCAGCAGGGAGACTCAACAGTTTTATTTCCTCCAACACCAAGCTGCATTCAAGTAATCTTGTTTCATGGTGATCTTCCCTGGACAACCTCTAAGTCAATGATCCCATCTATTTTGTCCCTGGATTGGTCAAATGTGCTGCCCGTAAGGGGAGGTGTCTATTTCCTCTCCTAATTATGTAGGAAGGGTTTTCTATATGTTAAGGCCATGCTTTCCCCAAGCTGTGGGCATTTGGTCAGGTTTCCTGGTGATTTTCCACAAAAGGAAATCCCCTAACTCATTAAAAAAAAAAAAAAATAGATTAATTGACCGGTTCAGTAACAAGCTGCCCCAGGACCCAATAAACTTTACAAAGGGTACATTCCAATTACGACTGGGCTCAGCATGAACCTGATAAGTAAGCCAGCATAATCTTTCTTCAGCATAAAGGATTTTCTTTTTCCTATTTTTTTTTCTTCCCCCCTCCCCCCCAGTTTAACTCCTTCTCAGCACTTGTGGACTGAGTAACTTCATACTTCTCCTTTTCTTGTCAATGTGAATCCTACCGAATAATTCCCAGCAATATGATCTATTAAGTTCAGTAAAAACAACCAACAGTCTACAGTCACTTTCTTTGCACTGCTGCAGCCTTGAAAGGAACAGCTACAGCCTTCTTCCACACTTTGCCTGGTGTCATTAAGTGAATCCAGATCTCAGACCAGGAGTGAGAAGAAGGAAAGTGATCTCACAGTATACACATCTGGTGGAGCAATTGGAGCTGCTTGCTTGCAAAGTACAGCTGTAAGCCTGCTTTCACTATGTCAGAGGGTCGGGAAGGATGCAGGGTTTTTCAGTAACAAGCATGATTTTAACAGCAGGAGAAGGAAATATGAGGCAGACGTCAAGCTAGAGAGACAAAAACAAAAGGTATTGGCTATAAAACATTTGTTTTATATTCTCGCATGTTAGACTTCCACAGCAGTAGAAAATCCAGACACTTTAGAATGAGAACCAGAGGCTGAGGTACTCCTGAACCTTTTGTATCCAACTTGCACTATGGCACAGTCTAGAGAAGAGACTAGTATTTAGTAATATGTAAATATCATGTGTGAGGGGGCTGGTTAGCCACAAAGAAGAGTTTCCAGCTATGGTCTTTGCAGCAGTTCCCCACCTGAGGCTAAAAGCTGCTTGTGGATACATAAGACAGTGCTCTTCAGCTCTATCCCCTCTGCCTAAAAGGAATATTGCAGAAGTTCAGGCTCCAAACATAGGGTTATCCTCGGATAGAGACCATGTGAGCACACTGGAAGTGCCTGAAGGTGGCTCAAGCATTCATTAGGCATCTCCTCCAGAGACAGAAGCAGAGGTCCCATGAACTGCAACTGCTCTGCAGAACCCCCAGGCTCAGCTTCTGCTACACAGCCTGGCTTGGGTGCTGAACCCCAGCTCTTTCACTGAATTGAACACTGCCGATTCAAGTCTGTATTCAAAGAGGCTTATTTAGAAAACAATCACTGGTTAGCTGGCTAATCTCTGTAGAGCACATTTACACACCTGCCTGCAAGTTACTGCTACTTTTAAGACACAAGAATGCACAGACATTTGTACAGGAGACACAAACTGTTTGGATTTATATCTGCTTCTGCTCAGATTTAGAATATCATTTTCATACATTTATTACGCCTAGCCTGTGCTGTATTGCTTACAGGAACAAGAATAGCTATAATTATTGTTGTCAATCAAAGTTTCTCTGAAGTCCTCAGCTTTAGTGTTTCAATAACTCATTTTTACCGGTGGCAAATGTCTTCAACAAACACTAGAGCCTAATTTGCAGTTTGGTTCCCTTGTCACTTTCTGAGTCATCTTGGTGGAATGCTGTGAGGCAAGAGATTCATTTTAGGACTTTTTCCATCTTCACTTTCCTTACATCTGTGAGCTGTTAAGAAGTTTGTTTTCAATAGCTCAGACATATCCACGGTGTACCACAGGTACCGAAGGTGCAATGAAATACAAAGTTTATTCGACTTCAGTACAAGAATACCTGATATACTGTTCCAAAGTCAGCCCTAGCACCTGCAGGTGCAGTTGGCATTGGTTTCACTGGAATTACAGTTGCTTAGTACTGGTGCTGGATTTAGCTGATTAGAAGCAAACTCCTCCATATTACATAGGGCTCAACAGTGACTGCATACCCTGTGGTGTAAATCAGAAGTAATTCCTCCAATGATGTGCAAACCTCAAGGTAAACATCACCCTCTCAAAATAGCTGAACTGCAAAAAATAAATGTGATACAATGCTGATGGATTTATAGGTAACACCGTTTCCTCCTCAGATTCTTAATCAGGTGTCATTGAGAGGCGCTAATATAATTAGAGATGAGATATGGATTAATAGGAAGAAAATATCATAACCTCACTCTCATAATAGAGCAGTCCATACACTACACTTACCTGCAAACTGCACCATTCTTCTGGTAGCATGACATTTGCTAAAGAAAAAGCCTGTTGATAATTCTCTATAGTCCTATATAGCACTCTGCCATGGCTGCTCTTCAAAAGGCCATATTTATCCCCTGGGAAATATAGCTGTATTAATATGACATTTTGTCACAAATTAATCTTAAACGGGATAATATTTTTGACACCAAGTTGAAACTGGAACTAAAAGGCAGTTCAGGTGGTTAAAGTGGCAATATGCTGTAGCAGACTTATGTTCCCTGAGATAATACTGTTATGGTGTAAGTACCATTGCATTGGGATGTACCAATACAGACAACTGTGCAAGTCTTTCTTCATTTTAACAATAGACATACAGGATCACTGGCCTTCTACTCTTTATTACAGTTGGTAGTACAGCATTGCCCATGATCCCAAGTATCAGAGCCTATGATGACAGGTGCAGTACAGAATAACAAACCTTGTGTTCAGAAAAGCAGCCAAGACAAGTAATTAGCACCTCATCTACCTTTATGATGAGATGTACTGTAGAAAAGTAGACAGACGGTTCAACAAAGATTAAAAAAAAAAAAACTAATTTCTCATTAAAGCGATTAAAAGTGGCCTGGTCTGGTTTTTTAATTGATGTCCCATGGCACAAGTCAGACATGACGAAAGGGATTCTCTGTGATGTACTCTCTTTCCTGCTGTGGAAGTTCCCAGGCTTCGTAGAGTTCATCAATGCCAGGCTAATTAACACAGTGTAATAGTGCCACTTACACCCATTTCCCAATTCATTTGCACATAGCTTCCACTTCTACAGAAATCAGGGTAAATTCATCGTACAGATTTCCACAGGAGTTGACCCCATTATACAAAGGAATGCTGTTAACCTTTTCTGTTCCTTTCCACCGAACAATGTGATGCTGATGGTCACCAAACATGACTGGTGATTTAGTGTACCGAAATATCACCTTACAGGTCCTTCAATGTACATCTCATCTGTTATTCACCAGCATGTCAGCTGGTTTTAATGGCATCATTTTTATTACGATTAATATCTCCTCCAGACCTGTTTAATTCCTTCCAGAACCTGAATGCTGCAACTAGCGGCCATCCAAATATATTTGTGTTATGAAACAATTAAATATCTACATTTCTGATTAATAACTATCTCTGATATGTGACGTGAAGCCCACTGACCACTAGTGATCCTTAAAGATCTATGGCATTTGTTTGCAAGAGCAGAGGGTATTATAAACTCCTGGATCTTGGCCTTATTCCAGTTGGGATAATTAAATTTTACCACACTAAAATTCCCCCTGCAGTTTCAGTTGGAGAACTCCTGTTCTTCACTTCCTGTTTTAACAACCAGACTGAAGTGTTGCTTGAGCTGAATTGCCAACACGTTCCATCCCTGAGCTGGGGAAGGGGACTCAGCCCATGGGTACACATTCTGCCAAATGCTTTGGGACTCATTAGGAAGGAGGTGTAGAACATGTGACCTAGAAAACCATAAAAACATAGCTCCAACCTCAGTGTTACTGCAGATTGATCGCTATGCTCGTGTGTTGCTGGATTTTTATTCTGGCAGGGGCAATCAACATGAAATGTCTGAGTATCTATCAGTGCTGCCCTGAAACTCCCCAGGATGGACGAAGAGGTTTTGCTGGTGAGCATTTTATCAACTGCTTAAGCCTCAAGCAAGTGTAAGAATCAATCCAGCTGAGATTTAAACTTCAGGACTTTCTATGCCTGAGTAATCACCTAGTAACACCGAGCTTTCGCAAGTTTTAGATAACAAATTGATTTTCTAGGAATACACAGTAAATATAAGTACTCCTAATTTCCTTATTGGGGAACACCAGAAAATATTGATCTGAGCAGCGTTTCTTACTTAAACAGGGAATTCTGTTTATTGGTTCTGCTGAGCTGCTTCCTCTTTCTATATGCTAAGAATATAATCTGTCTGTAGGGAGGCAGTGAGGGGTTGCAGGGCACCATTTTCATGTCCTAGGAAGCAAGTCTGTAACTCTGTCAAGGGGGGAAATCCATGCATTTAAAGGTTGATTTGACTAATTTTCTTATGAAAAGCATTTCTGGGCAATCTAAGTCTGGAACTCAGAAATTGCAGTGACTAAACAGGCCAATCCACTGAACTATTAAAGAAGCCTTGAAAGTACTATTTCTGTATTCATTTGA